ATTGTTAAGGTATGACTCTCTCCCTTTTTTGTTTATATTCGATGCTAACTTATTACAGGTGTTCGATCAAAGACATCGGGAAATTCTTCAACACAAAGACCTCAGGTTTTAAAGCATGCGTTGCACTATTTTTCCCTTAGATCGGTTTTTTCCCAAATGGGTTTTTTCGGTGAGGTTTTTAACGAGGCAACAATTATCTGTGCTACCTGGGGACAATTCAACAGTATCTGAGGCTTCTTTACAACTAACCTCGAATACTGGGGGGCATCACCCTCGGATGTATGTTTTCAAGGAAGATGCTTCATGTCAACAGTCACCCTCGGATGTTATGTTATCAAGGAAGATGCTTCGTGTCAACAGGGTCTCGATAGGAAAATTTTGTAAAGGGCCAAACGGTCAAGTGAATCGTGCTCATGTAGATTGCCCGAGCCCTAATGACAAAACATGTATGCATGAATGATCTATTGAAAGAAGTACTTTTTCCTTATCAGATGTTCCATGCCTTAGTGAAATTTCTACTTTACAATTTCGTACTTGCGATATATTACGGAAACCGACTCAAGAGCCAATCGCAACTAAAGCTCGAGCAATTAACCCCGTACTCGGGGACTATCGTCCGAAAATCGACATTTTTGAATTATCAAACTTCGAAATCTTAAGACCTTAAAAAGGCAATCCGCGATTTTATAGGCCACAGCAACCCCACTCGAGGACTGATACTTCGAACAAGTTTGAAGTATAATCGAGAAACAAGCCCAATGAGCAAGTAACAAGTTAAAGGTTACGGCTAAACTAACGCGGTTTGGAGATGTCCGAATTCCGTAATCAAACAGGCCTTCAAATATTTTCATAAAACGGTTAAAAAAGAACTACCATCGGCATATTTACATAGGGTTTCGATAACATCAACCCTCGAAAACCTTAAGAAGTACCAAATTGTTCGAACTCTCGAACAAACTTATGCTAAGGCATAACAAAGTTTTTCGATAACACTGAATCCTAATGGGTACAGATTTATCTCATGCTAAGGCATAACAAATTTTTATATGATTAAACTTTTTAAGCCGAAAAAGAGAAAAAGCCACTCTTTTAAGGCCGTATCGGCCTAATTTAAGAGCCTAAGGGCCATTATATTATTGAGTTCAAGGATCCACCCTCGCTCAACCTAAACCTAAGGGTTTTCTCTACTCCGAGTTCGAGCAAGTACTTACTCGGTTATAGAGACTATACTAGTCCGATTTGATTAAACTGCCCAAGCCTCACACTTGTGAAAATTTCTGAGACATAATTGAAACGAAATATGTACGAGGCAGAAACTGAGATAAAACAAGTCAAAACAAAACAAGGAAAATTCAGAAAGGAAAATTTTTATACCAAAATTTTTCTTTCAAGCACCATTGGTCCGATCTAAAACTTTATACAAAGGTAAGGGGGAAGCCTTAAAAGAAATATTACTAATCCTAAGGGCCTAGCTTTCTTCGGAGGCAGTTTCTTCGCCCTCAGAATCTTCTCCACCTGATCCGCTCACATCCTCGGAATCCTCATCAGGGAACGCTAACTTCCGAGCCGTTGCTTCCTCAGCCTTGGCAATCTCAAGCTCAGCAGATATGTTGACACTACGAACTAGGATGTCCTGGCTTGCTCAGGGGTGGCCTCAGCGTCAGCTTTGTAGTGATCCGCGATAGCCTGGGCCTTATTAATGGCCGCAACCACTTCGGATCTAGCGACGTCGAGTTCCTCGGCCAACTTGGCTAGGTTGGCTTCGAGTTCCTCAGCCTTCTTCGCTTGGGCCGAGGTTTTGTCCTTTGCCTGACGAAGTTGCGACTTGGCAGAATCTAACTCTGCCTGAACGGTATCCTTTTGTGCAGCCAGGATGTCCATACACCCCTTAAACCGCTCGGCCTCAGCTCGCACTTTGTCTATTTTCCCTTGAAAGCCTTTGATTTGTTCGAGCCTCTGTCGATCTTGCAGAATGGGTTTGTTAGTCGTTATCTCCAATTCGTCCTCACTATCATGAAGAATTCGGAATACCTGCTCGGCCATCTCTTCATGTGCGTTCCGAGCCTCCAACAGGTCCACCTGAAGCTTCTCACTGAAACTTTATAAGTGTTGCACTTCTCAGTAAGGCCTTGAACCTCGACCTCGCGTTCCTCTCGGGCTCGAAGAAAGGCCTCGTGGTGCAACACCGAAGCCTGCAATAAAAGAAGTAATGTTAGGGATATTTATGAGACAAAAATCATGAAAAGATAATGACCCTTGAACTTACCCGATTTAGGGCATGATGGGCCTCGTTGAACAAGCATGCGACATCCACTGCGTCCATTTTGGCTTGTTCCTCTTCAGTGACCAGACATAGAAGGTAGCTTGCTACCCCTACGGAGGCAGAAAAAACTTGTGTATCCTCCGGGGTCGAGATGATAAGAGGCTGTTCCTGGTCTGGATCAACGCTGGGAGCCGAGAACTGATTGGTCAATATATAGCTTGAGGGCCTCATTCGAGCTTTTCTTTGGTACGACCAAACCACCCAAACCAGTAACGTCTTCAACGTCAGCAAAATAACCACGAAAAAAGTCTTCCTTGCCCTGGGCCCCATCTCCGTGACAAGTCTCCGCAGCATGGTCATCACGAATCATCGAATTCGGGACTAGAGGGAATGAGGAGGAATCCCCGGCCACTATCTCCACAAGTGTATCTTTGGAGGAATCACCTTAATTCTAGGGATCCTCGAGCTCGGTTTCTGCCCCAATCACAACTGGCTCCTCGAGGGCCTCTCTATCATGAGGTGAGGCATCTTCAACTCTCGTTGACTCAGTGGGCCGGGGCAAAGTAGCTTTGACCCTCGCCCGTTCAGTGGTTCTTTGAACCTCGACGTTGGCCCGCACCCGACGCACCAAAATAGAATCTTCTTCTTCATACTCATCTTCGATCTCATTCGCTAACTGGTGGACGGACTCTAGAGTTAAGGGGATGACCTCCCCCTTTGGTTTGCGGGGTCTTCTGGCTGGTTTTTTCTTCTTCGGGCTTGAGGAGCTCGGAGCCACTTTTCTTTTCTTCTCCTTGCCCTGCTTCGGGGCAGATGCAGAAAGAAGCGCCATTTCTTCAGCAGAAGGGGGCCTCATCGGCGCATCCTTCCCAAGACCTGCAAAATGAGAAAAATGAACAAGTACAAAAATAAAGCACGAATGGAAACTTTGCAAAGGAAAAAAAAGAAAATTACCATGGTTTCGAGCCTCCCATCGGCCTCTCGACAACTCCATCCAGGCGCGCTCGGAGTATACTTTTTGAGACACCAATACCTCGACCCATCGCCTCAGGTCGGGATCACTCTCGGCATAACAGCCCTGGCTGAACACAAAAAAAATTTAGATGAGGGGAAGAGAAGAAAGCAGGAACGGCAATAATAGGTACTCGTAAGGCCAAGAAAACACATATGTGCCATGTTCCACCTCTCAAGGAACGGCATAACTCCGGCGGGGATCAGGTCCGAGGTCCTTATTCGCATGAACCTGCCCATCCAACCTCGGTCTCGATTCTCGTCTATACTAGAGAACGGGGGTTTGGTAGCTCGACGATAAGGCTTGATCATTGAGATGATCGAGGGTAAAAGGATGCCCCTCGATCTTACATACGAAGAATCGGAGAAGAAGCACAATCCTCCAAAACGATGGATGGATCTGGCCTAGAGTGACATCGTACCTCTTACAGAAGGCAACGATGATAGGGTCCAAGGGACTTATTGTGAAAGGGTAGGTGTAGACGGTCAAATACCCCTTCTTGTAAGTAGTGATGGATTCTTTAGGGCTAGGCATTACAACATCCTTGCCAACCTAGTTGCACTCCTCTTTTACCTTCTCGAGGAGGCGCTCAGTAATTGTACACGTGTATCTCGACATGGGCTCACATCGCCCAGGTGTCGAAGGTGTGTTTTCCACCTTGAAATCGGAGGCAGTCGCACACTTCGTCGGAACGAAGTCAGTAAGAGGATATTCCGCCGCTGTCGCGGTGCTAGCGGGTCTTGATGCAGAGGTGGTTTCTTTATGAGGGACAGTTTTGGAAGTCTTAGCCATTTTTTAAGAACGGGTAGTAACCTAGTGGTAGATTTGGCGTATTAAGAAGAGATTAGTAAAAAAACTTGACAATTTGTGAAGAAGAACTTGGGAAATGCAAAGAGTACTGAAGATTAGAGCGGAAGAGATTGAAGGTAAAAGTTAAAAAATGGAAAAGGGATCTATTCATGGGTTTCACGGCGACAGTTCAAGGTTGTTAATGGCCGATCATCAACTGACACTCATTAATCGTTTTAGGAACCGCAACGACACGACGCTTCAGTCGCTTCCGTCGCCTACGTCACGAGGATGACGTCATGATAGATCAAGGTATAAAATAAAAGCCTCATTTTGTTTCTCCTCATTACATTCCAAGAAACGAGGGGACTATCTGTATACGGTCAAAATCGAGCCTACCCGATTTTTCTATTTAATCGAGACAAGAGAGTTGAATCGGGGGGTAGCCTCATAATGAATCAGACCCAAGCTCGAGGACGGGGCATCAAGATCGAAGTGCCTCCCGAAATCGAGAGGTATAGCAACCAAGGTCATATGTGACAGACTTCGAACGAAGCACAGTAACAAAAAAGCGAGATATACGTAACCGGTCGAGGATCACGGCAGATATCTCGGAATAGATCAAATCAATGGTGGTTATTTGTGCCAATTGTTAGAACTGAGAGATCAAATGTAATCTCAAGCTGCCATTGTTGTGGCAGTTGAGCTCAAACGAGAGAAGAAGAGAGAACAATAGAGATTTCTAGAAGAAAGATATTTTGGGAGAAGAAATCTGATTTCATTCTTCATCGTATATCCTATATGTACATGTGCAAATGTAATGACAACTACCATTAGCTAATTACAAGAATACCCTTACTAGTATACTCTATTTTGTTGACTAACTATGAATATGACTATACATATAAATACAACTGATACTCTTAATACCCCCCCTCAAGTTGGAGGGGAGGAACTCACTGCCAACTTGCTGAGAACAGAACTATGCTTGATGCCTGTCAAGGCCTTGGTAAGAATGTCTGCTAGTTGAATATCTGTGGAAATGTGATGTAAGGTGATGAGGCCATCGTACAACTTGTCGCGGACAAAATAACAATCTACCTCTATATGATTGGTATGTTCATAAAACACTGGGTTTCTTGCCATGTGTAGTGCAGCCTGTCTATCACAAAAGACTGGTATAGGATGTAGGCAAGGTACTGTCAATGCTTCTAGCAGCCGTTTGAGCCAGACTAATTCTCCAACCACCTTCCTAATTGATCTGTATTCTGTTTCTGCAGAGGAGAGGGAGACTGTTTCCTGCTTCTTGGACTTCTAGCTAATAGGACTATCCCCCAGTAAGACTAGATATCCACTCACTGATCGTCTAGAATCAGGGCATGAAGCCCAGTCTAAATCACGGTAGGCTTTTACAGTGCAATCTGGATCGTTGGAGAGGAAAATGCCCAAGGATGGATTATTCTTAAGATACCTCAAGGCATGGAAAACATCCTTAAGGTGTGGCTCTCTAGGTGTTTACATGAACTAGCTTAAGTGTTGTACACTATAGGCAATATCTAACCTTGTATTGGTAAGGAAATTAAGCTTCCCAACTAATTTTCTATAGTAAGTAGGATATTCCAGTAAGGTTCCCTCTTCTGCCTTCAACTTGAGAGTGCAATCTAGAGGAGAAGTGACTGTGGTGTATTGACTGTCATATTCTCTTAACAAATCTGCAGTGAACTTCCTTTGTGAAATGAGAACCCCATTGCTTTTGTAGAACACTTCCAGTCCAAAAAGTAGTGCAATTTCCCCAGATCCTTGATTTTAAACTGATCATGGAGGAAAGACTTTAGTGCCTTAATTTCTTCTATATCTGTCCCTGTAAGAATCACATCATCAACGTAGACAGCTACAAATACAATTGAAAACCCATTCTTTTTATAGAACAAGGAGTAATTATTTTCTGAATGTCTAAAACCCCTGGTGCATAATGTTGTAGTTAGCTTGTCATACCATTGCCTGCTTGCCTGTTTTAGTCCATATAAGGACTTGTTCAACTTGCAAACTAGGTCAGGAACCTCAATTTGCAGTCCTTGTGGTACCTCCATAAACATTTATTCATGTAGATCTCCATGTAAAAATGCGTTGTTTACATCCAATAGAAACAAGTCCCAGCCTCTTTTAACTGCTATTCTAATCAGGGTCCTAACAGTTGTCATCTTGACAACTGGAGAGAATGTTTCATTGTAGTCTATTCCTGCTTGTTGTGTGTATCCTTTCACTACAAGTCTTGCTTTAAATCTTTCAACAGTCCCATCTGATTTGTGTTTGATTTTATACACCCATTTGCATCCTATAGCTTTCTTACCTGCAGGCAATGTAACTAGATCCCATGTATGGTTAGCATATAAAGCCTCAAACTCTTGTGTCATGGCAGCTTGCCATGCAGGGTTTAAGGCTGCCTCCTCATAAGAAGTTGGTTCAGAATCATGTGAAATACTTCTCATCATATGCTGACTATTGTTATTCAAGGCAGTAAAACAGATGTGTTGATGGTTTGAAGGGGTAAAATTTAGTAAGATAGTGTGTGAGGTATTTTTCTTTAGATTTGGAAGAGAGTACACATATTCATTCAGGTAACTTGGTGTTTTGACTGTTCTGGATGGTCTTGTATCATTACTAGTGTTTAGAGTATTGGTGGAATGGTGATCTGAAGTGTCTGAAGGACTGGGTGAATTTTCAGAAGAATTTGTATCAACAGGTGGGGAGTTACCTTGATCAAAAGGTGAGGAAACATTTTGATCATTTGGTGACAAAGTGTTGGTGACAGAACTTGGTGCGGTCCCATTTGGTGACTGACTGTTACTCAAAGTATCATCTTTGTGACCCACACATGTATGATCAGAGTGAAAGGATGGCAAGACACAAGGAAAAGAAGTGTGATCAGAAGACACAATAAAAGGAAAAACATGCTCATGGAATTGTACATCCCTGGAAATGTGTATTCTTTTAGTGGCCANAATATCTGCGTTTCTTTTCCACCACACCATTCTGTTGAGGTGTGTATGGACAAGTTTTCTGGTGTATAATGCCTTTGGAATTGAAGAATGATGAGGTTTCATTGTTGACAAACTCTAGTCCATTATCAGACCTCATGGACTTAATGGAAGAACTGAACTGGTTTTCTATCATGCATACAAAATTTTTCAGCACTTGAAGAGTGTTGCTTTTACAGCTTAGGAGATATGTCCATGTGGACCTACTGAAGTCATCAACTATTGTAAGAAAATATTTGTAATTATCATGGGTCACTGTGTGGTATAGCCCCCAAAGTTCTATGTGTAGGAGATCAAAAACATTTATGGAAGAAGTAGTTTTCTGAGGGAATGGCAGTCTTGCCTAACACCTTCTCTCGGGTTAATAGAATTCCTTACCTAGAATTTCTGGTTCGCAGACTCTTTAAAAAATAAAACTTCCTCGATTTGGGATTTAAAATAAACCGGTGACTTGGGACACCATAATTTATTCCAAGTGGCGACTCTGAAAAATTAAATAAATAATCCCATTTCGAATAATGTCACTTAAATTGGAAAAACTCCCTTATATACCGCTCTCGACGGGTGGTGTAAAAAGGAGGTGTGACAACTTTACGCATTTTTGATACCGATGTCAAACGCATCATGGTGGACGATGGAAGCAGTGCATGCATTATCCATCACCACCGAGTCCTTACCCAAATGAGGCTCGAGTTATGATAGTGTCGAACTACATCACACTAATCGGTTTTAATAATGCAGTTGAGCAAACGTCCGGGGAAATTACACTCCCTATCTTGGCCGGTGGCGTAACTCTAGAGACAACATTTCACATCATGGACCAAGCCACCGCGTACAATGCCATAGTTGTTCGAGGTTCATTGTCGCCCTATCAAGGTTCATCTCGTGGTCGTCGGATAGGTGCCATAAATTTTTTAGCGTACTCAAGAAAGACAACGGCCTCGAATGGACTTCCGAGTGTGTCCAGGCTCTACGAGAAATAAAGGCATACCTGTCATCACCGCCTTTTCTTTCAAAACCCGAACCTAGGGAGCAACTCCTCATCTATCTAGCCATATCTGAGGTTGCAGCAAGCGTAGTCTTGATCCGCGAAAAGAAAAGGTACACAATCTGCCATCTATTACATTAGCAAAACACTCGTCGATGCTGAGACGAGGTACCCACACCTTCAAAAATTGGCTCTAGCCTTGGTCATAGCTTCACGGAAGCTTAGACCATATTTCCAATGTCACCCCATCTCGGTCGTCATGACTATCCCCCTGAGGAGCATTTTGCATAAACTCGAGCTATTGGTAAAGCTAGCCAAATGGGCCATCGAGCTAAGTGAGCAAGATATCACATACCAGCCACGAACAACAATAAAGTCACAAGTGCTCGCCGACTTAGTCACCGATTTTAGCGCAAAAATAATGCCTGAAGTCGAGAGGGAAGTCGTCCAAACTTCCTTCCAAACACAAGACCTCTGGGTCCTATACACCGATGGCGCATCTAACGCGTCAAGTTCCAGACTGGGACTCGTACTCGAGGTCCCAACAGGCAAAGTGATTCACCAGTCCACAAGGTTCCCGAACATGACTAACAATGAGTCCGAGTGTGAGACCGTAATCGCAGGTTCAAGGCTAGCACTCTAATACGGAGCAAAACGGTTGAAACTGCATTGTGATTCCCAGCTCGTAGTCAACCAAGTCACAGGGACTTTCCAATCAAGGAACCAAGATTAAAAAAATACCAGACAGAAATATGCAAGCTTCTGCCTAAGTTCGACAAATATCTGCTCGATCAAATCCCACGAGCGCAGAATGCTGAGGCAAATGGACTCGCTAAACTGGCCGCAGCTACCAAAAGCATCACAACCGGAGACAAAAACGTGGTCCATCTCCTCAACTCATCACTAACCAAGTCGAGGTAAGAACCATAAACTTAACTTGGTACTGGCGCAATTGTATTGTCGCATAATTGCAGGACGACACACTCCTTGGCGACATAAAAGAGGCCAAAAAACTAAGAATGCAAGCGGCCAGGTACATTATCCTCTACAACGGTCTATACAAAAGGACCTACGGCGGAACTCTGGAGAAGTGCTTAGGCCCAAACCAAACTCAGGGCGTCCTCGAAGAAGTCCATGAAGGCCACTGCTAGGCTCACTCCGGCAATCGGGCACTGTTGAGATGCCTCATACGGGCGGGATATTACTGGCCCACCATGAAAAAGGATACTGCAAACCTCGTAAGGAAATGCGAGCCGTGCCAAAGGTACGCCCCAATAATTCACCAAGCAGGCGAACATCTCTATTTAGTCACCTTCCCTTGGCCGCTCATCAAATGGGGAATGGACATCGTGGGCCCCCTCCCAAATACGGGAACATGAAGTAATCACCTTTATATGGATAAACATCATCTGCCAGTTCGGCCTTCCCAAAGAAATCAGCTGTGACAACGGACCCCAGTTCACAGGAAAGAAAACCGCCGAATTCTTCGAAGAAGGGCATATAAAGAGGATACTCTCAACCCCATATCACCTCGCACGTAACGGGCAAGTGAAGTCATCCAATAAGTTAATTATAAATATCATGAAGAAGAAGCTCGAAGATGCCAAGGGACTGTGGCCGAAAATACTACCAGAAGTATAATGGGCCTACCAAACAACTTCGAAAACGAGAACAAGAGAGACGCCCTATTCTCTGGCCTACGGGACCGAGGCAGTAATACCAGTCGAGGTAGGAGAACCCAACCTAAGGTACTCTCATGAGAGCGGCACGAGTAACGACGAGAGCAGAAGGCAAGAACTCGATGAAGTCGACGAACGAAGAGATATGGCCTACATAAGAATGGTCGCTCAAAAACAACAAGCAGAACGCTATTACAACAAGAAAGCAAAGGCCAGGCCGCTCAAAGTTGGGGACTATGTACTGAAAGCTAAAACTCCGGCGAACAAAGATCCCAGGGAAGGCAAGCTGCGAACAAATTGGGATGGTCCGTATAAAATCACAGCCGAAGCAAACAAGGGTTCATTCCTATTAGAGACAATGGAAGGAAAGCTAATACCAAACATTTTGAATATCAACCACCTTAAATACTTCAACTTCTTAGAGAAAAAGCGTCCCCCAAACCGTACTCTTTCTTCCCTCACTTGAGTTTTGTCCCATTTGGGTTTTCTCAAGGAGGTTTTTAACGAGGCGGCGAAGGGAACGCTTCGAGTCGAAGTACGTGAAGGTAGGGCCGTGGTTACTATTTTATTGCTTGACCTCTCAATACTCTCCAGATCGACCAATGAAGGGACTAGATAGATTGGGACTGGATGCCAACCAACACCAAAAAATTTGTAAATTTCTGAAGTAGGTAACCAAAGCAACAATGTCAAAGCAATAAACTTTATGCTTATTAGCACACCTTTTCCGCATTAAGGTTATGTTCGACCCCGCTCGAACAAACACCTATCGGCCCTCGGTCGTGATTTAATAAAAGGTTATGTTGTATCTGGCTCGAACAAACATCTACCGGCCCTCGACCACGATTTAACGAAAGGTTACATTCGACCTCGCTCGAACAAACACCTACCGGCCCTCGACCGCGATTTAATGAAAGTTTACGTTTGACCCCGCACGAACAAACACCTACCGGCCCTTGGCTGCAATTTAACGAAAGGTTATGTTCGACCTCACTCGAACAAGTGCTTATCGACCCTCGACCGTGATTTAAGGAAAAGGTTATGTTCGACCTCCCTCGAACAAATGCCTACCGGCCCTCGGCCGTGATCTAATGAAAGGTTATGTTCGACCTCGCTTGAAAAAGCACCTATCGCCCCTCGGCCATGATCTAATGAAAGGTTATGTTCAATCTCGCTCGAACAAACACCTATCAATCCTTGGCCGTGATCTAACGAAAGGTTATGTTCGACCTCGCTCGAACAAACGCTTACCGGCCCTCGGTCGCGATTTAAGGAAAGGTTATGTTCGACCTTACTCGAACAAGCACCTATCGGCCCTCGGCCGTGATCTAATGAAAGGTTATGTTCGACCTCGCTCGAACAAGCACCTATCAGCCCTCGGCCGCGATCTAATGAAAGATTATGTTCGAACTCGCTCGAACAAACACCTATCGGCCCTCGGCCACATCCCAACAAAGAAACAAAAATATACACAAATACAGAAAATAAACCGCAGGAAGAGAAGAAGATGCAAGGAACAACTCTGATATTTCATATACTTAAAAAACTGCTTACAATAGGCTCTTGAAGACGCCGACAAAAAATATACAAAAAAATCAAAAGAGAAAACTACTGGCCACCACCATCACGGCCTTCAACATACCCATCGACTTGGCCCTCAAACACGTCGCCTCCTTGACCATCAACACCCTCGCTATCGCCACCATCGGCCTTAGGATATGTAGCATCATACCAGGCATTCTCCTCGAGTCGGTCTACACCCTCATCCCCTTCGTCCTCACCGGCCTCAGGTGTAGCAGGATCATACCCACTAGCGACTCAAGCTTCACAAGCCTTAACACGAGCATCCTTGAGGGCAGCC